CTACCTAAAAAAAATTATAATCACATCACCTCACAGAATTCCACCATATTGCCATGCAATACTTGCTCTGCATCCAAAGACAAATGCACATAACTGACATTTGCCCTTGGAGCAGTCAGTGCCATCACCATTCTGTCCAAATGTTTCGAACTCTGAGATGGAACTCAAAATACATAAGTACAGGGAAGATTATAAGATTAAAAGATTATAATATTTATTATCCTAATTAATCATCCTGTGATTAATAGATGTATTCCTCTTTCTCTCTGGCTTTTAATCTGATGTTTAATTTCAGAAATTAAGTGTCAATCTTATTTGTAGTTTCCATAACAATATTGTAAATAATCCTGAAACAATATTTTAGGCACCATCAATTGTCTGTGAGGAAACTTTACAAAAAAGACATGGAAAGTAATTTTATTATTAACTCTTATTTTTGTACTGCTTATTTTAAGAAACAGAACAGAACATGATCCCTAATTTTATGTCAAAACATACCAATGAAAAAATGAATGTTTTTCACTGAAACATTTAAAAAATAGGTATTATTTATCTACCAGTACACGATATACTAAACTTATTAAACTTGTGTACATGTATTAGGAATTCAGTATGTGGAAAAAACAAAAGAAATTCAATGAGCTCTATCACCTGTTTACAAATGTAAATGCAACTATTTTGAATTGATAACCACTGCTTAATGCATGTATTGATAAAACAGTTGAAATTAATAACCACTGCTTAATAAATACATGTATTTTTTTAAATGATGTAACAGTTGAAATTGATAACCACTGATTTATACATGTATTTAGATGATGCAACAGTTGAAATTAATAATAATTCACACACTTATTCAGGTGATGTAATAGCTGAATAACCACTGCTTAATGCTAGTATCTTGGTATTAAGGTAATGTATCAGTTGTAATTACTGTTTAATAAATATATATATTTTTAGGTGAAGTAACAGTTCAAATTGATAACCACTGCTTAATAAATATATGTATTTTAGTTGATTCAACAGCTGAAATTGATAACCACTGATTAATAAATGCAATGTATTTAAATTAGGTAACAGTTGAGACTGATAACTACTGCTTAATAAATACATGTAGTTAGGTGATTTCAAAGCTGAAATTTTTAGTAATATACTATATATCTGTATGAATTATAAATGTCAGTTTTACCAAGGTTACATTATTATAATAACTACTTGATATGCATATCTGAAAAACTACAGCTAGAACAAACACTTTATTCATTCAATTTGTAAACTCCACAAAAATTACAAAATCTTACATTTCAAAGTTATTTTGAAGCAGCCCCAATAGATACTGATAGCACGATTACAAGTACCGACCACAACTGTACCTTTCATATTGAAAGTTAGAGATATTTATGACATATGACTATCAGTTATGGAATTGTATTGACTGAAAGAAGAAAAATATGGCATCATCATTCTGATTGCTATAACACGTAGTAGCGGCCTTAATGATATGCGAAAGTTTCGATAGCACCGGACCCGCAAGCTAAGGTGACCAAACATTTTCGGAATTTGTTTAAAAAAGATTATAATTAAAGCAGATAATTAAAATAATAAATTTCGGTTTGAAAAGAAAGAAGCTATTTTTATTAATTCACAAAATGTCTACAGCGATATAGAAATTAGATTTGTGTGCCCATTGTCCTCATTTCGAAACTGGCTCACAGAGGCCTAAAACTGCTTCTACATCAGGCCCCGTTTTTATATAAAACGTTAAATCTTGTTTCATCTTTGTCGGTGGTGATGCAATAAGATTATTGCACTGCAGTGGCTTAATTCTTTATAAATAACAAGATATATTGCACGTATAACGCAATATCAAATTACCCGTTATAGATCTTATGCATAATTTTTCCGCTCAACAGACTGTACCTGCACACTTCATTTGCTTTCTTTTTGGCAACACAACACCCACCCTTGCTAAGAAGCCTATTCGCATAACCCTCACGTACAACGAGTACCCAGAAGCATGCCATCAAGTAAAACAAAATACTCGAACTCCTAGAACGTGCCATCACGTGACTTGAAAATTTAGACTCCAAATTTACGTTTGGTCACCTGAGGACTAGTTACTGAGTGCTCGTACAGTTAACTTAATACAGTTGTACTGATCATCATATCCTAGACTGGCGTCAAAACTATGTTAATGGAGGGAAGAGTATGTTACAGCTGACACCAGCTAGTCCTCAACCTCTTGGGCCCAGTTTCACGTGCGCCATCTCAACCGTGTTCTTCGATCTGGAGAGTAAGTATGGAAGGGAGGTAACTACTGCATAACTGTCCCATCCTGTGCTTCATCATGAATGGTTTTCTAAATTTTGGAGCACTGAATGTGCCTTGATATGCCATATGGAATTACAAAAACTAATTTCACTTAAATTATTTACAAGTGAGCATGATGATGTTGTGACAGCACTTCACATTCAATTTTTAATGATAAAACTGGGTCCAT